AGAGCGTCAAAAGCATCCAGTTATTGGAACTCCTGATTATTTGGCACCTGAGATACTTCTTGGAATGGGGCATGGTTCGCAATTATCTTTTGTTACTTTGATAGTTCATACATGATGTATGGTTCTGTTTTATTTATTTTATTATATTTTTTCCATCACTGGACATTACCTCCTTGCAGGTGCAACTGCTGATTGGTGGTCTGTGGGTGTTATTCTTTATGAGATGCTTGTTGGTATACCTCCATTCAATGCAGAAACTCCACAGGTAGGTCATCTGAATGTTACAACCTGAACTTTTATATGATTTTTATCAGCAGACTGGAGATGGTTTTTGATTTTTTTAATAATTAAATTTATTATGAGTTGTTGTTGATATTGGTTAAGTTACTAACTTGGTTGTAGTTACTTTCCTAACATTTTAATTGTGCTGTAACCATTTGCCAGTACCTTTTCTGTTAACATGAAATATGGACTATACCTTTTATATACCACTGCATAGTATGATATGTCATAAGTTACCATTTCTAATATAATTATTCCTCTACGAAGTTGTATGTGTGCAAAGAATGTTTGATGGATGCAGCATAGAGATCTTAAATTGCTTGCTTTCTAATTTTTCTTGGGTATTTTTTTTATCCTTTAAATTGGAAAGAATATGTTGACCTTGGGGAAACTTTTCCTTTCAGTTTCAGAACATTTTATGCGAATAGCTTAATTTCATACTAATAGGCCATATCTCTTGCAGCAAATATTTGACAACATAATGAATAGAGATATTCCTTGGCCCAGGATTCCTGAGGAGATGAGCTTCGATGCCTGTGATTTGATTGACAAGTAAGATTGAGTGAGATCCTAAGATATAAATGCTATTTGTCTGAAAATGTAATGGTATTTGAATCAGAAGATTATTTGAGTTTCCTATGATATTTGAGTTTCCTACGAGTATAAGCAAGGAAAATTTGCTTCTCTCTGTATTAGCTCTTTCATGCATTGGAATCAATTCCAATGGTACAGCACGCAAATTATGTTATTGATAATACCAAGCCCCTCTTTTAATTTAGAAGCTATTAAATTTCTACCTCAGTGTTAATTCACTTGAAAAGTATTAATATTTTTCTACTTCACTTTCAGATTGTTGGCAGAAAATCCACTTCAAAGGCTAGGAGCAACAGGAGCTAGAGAGGTGAACTTTTTATGGTGACTGATGAGACTTGTTTACAAGCATAAATGATTTGAAAATTAAACTGGTTAATTTTATGGCAGGTTAAGAAACATTCTTTCTTTAGAGACATAAATTGGGACACGCTTGCAAGGCAAAAGGTTATCATAGTTTGATATTTTTTAAAATAACCAGGTCTTGGTATTTTTTGTTCGATAGTATTTACCGTCATACTTAAACGCATGGCAAGTTCTTCTATTTGCTGCAGGCTATGTTCATTCCATCGGGAGAAGCGCATGACACAAGTTATTTTATGAGCCGGTATATATGGAATCCAGAAGGTGAAAATGTGCATGGAGGTAGTGACTTTGAGGACCTGTCAGACGCATGCAGCAGTGGTTCATTCAGCAATACACATGATGATAACGTGAGTACATATTGCAGTTGAATATTGCATCTATACACATGATGACGTGAGTACATATTGCAGTTGAATATTGCATCTATCTCTTTGCACATATGGCTTTCAGTTCATTGGCACATGAGCTCTAATCTCATTAAGTTATACCATTGCCAGCTGCCAACAACAATTCTGATTTTGAAATTGTCTCTTTTCTTTGATTTGATTTAGAAAACTATTATTTTCATTATTATGTTTTCTTTTTTGATTTTCCAAGCAATAAAATGCCCGGAATTGATTTAGAGAGGATGTTAAATTCTCAATTCAAACAAAAGCTTCATTTCTAGAAACATCTTGTCCTAATGGCAAAAGAATGGAATTATTTCGGATGGGAACTTGTACTTAAAACTTATCATTGGTCATTGTAGAATGGTTTAAGAATTATTTCACTTTGAAGTAATTTCAAATTGATGTAGGTGACCTCATGCAACCATTGCAGCTCCATGGGCATTACCTTATGATTTTACTGTTTTATGCCAGGGGGATGAATGTGATAGCTTGGCAGAGGTTGGCACCCCAATTCTTGATATGACGTACTCTTTTAGTAATTTCTCGTTTAAGGTGAGACATGCTAGATGTTATTCGACAAAATTAGATGTTGCATGAAACTGAAATCATCTCTCTTTTTTTCATTGAATTCTTCTTGAATGTCCCTACATGCTTGCACATTGTATCAATGGGCCCATAAATTTCTTCTGTTGAAAGTTCTATAACGGTGTTTTAGAAGCGCTCTCGTTAATTTCCTTTTCGTTCTTGCCAAATGAGTTTTGACATTCCCCATGAATCTATGGGTATTGAGTAAACACTATATGGCATAATTAAGTGGTGAGAAATAATTATTCGTGTTATTGAAGTTAAAGTTTTTATTATGAATTAAGAACTACTTCTTGTATTTCCAGAATTTGCCTCAGCTGGTTTCCATCAATTATGATCTAGTTGGTAAGAGCACAAAGGAAGCAGCAGATGCCTCCAAACCATCAGTTCCTTGACATTTTAAATTTGGTTGATTCAGCGTATGTAAGCTTCCACGACCTACACAATTCTTCATTTGCTACCTGCTGAAGTTCCTGAAAATTTTGCACAGTTTCTTTACATGGTTGCCCTCGTTTTGAGTTCTTTGATCTGAAAATTTCAGAAAGAGGCTTTCCTGGGACAGGAGCAGAGCTTGAATAAGCAGCCTATTAGGAACACGACATGCCCATTTTACAGATATGGAGCTGCCAAACAAAGTGATACTTCAGCAAAGAGAGTGGGATTTGATTGCTGCAGCCAACAGGTCATGGACATTTTGTTATCATCACTTATTTTTGTATATACATAGATCCTACTACGTAGTGAAAGAAATTTCTTCTTGCACATTTTTTTCACGAGTTCTCCGCAATCTGAAAATTTTGAAAAGATGCGTGGGGATATCCTATCCACATTCCAAACACACGCATGCTCTTGATTTCTCAACTATTATGATGTTGTGGTAGACAGCACTAGGCCAGAAGAAAAGGAAGGCTTCTCTTGGAACCTTCTTGCATCCCTAACTAAATTAGAATCGCTTTTCCTTTTTCCTTTTCTTTTTTTTGAATCAAAGGCCCATACAGAAGCCGCCACAAGAGATCACTAGGAACTAGTTCCAATCTTCCCTTACATGTGACGTGAGGATTGCCTTTTTATGAATCATAGTCCTAAAAAACACAAATGTTTCGAGCGGCTCAGGCTTAGCTTTCTATGCATAACATTTTTTACTTGGCACTTGTGCAGTGGATGGATGTTAAGTGGGACAAGTACATGCTATTTCGGGGTGGATCTCAACTTTTTGAAAGTAGGTAGGTAAGGTCTCATTGTTAATTTTTTCTGAATGATTCTGCAATCCATAAAAGCTTTTAGATTGTGATAGAAAGAGAGAAAGAAAAATGCCATTTGCTCTTTCTTTACTCAAATTGTATAAACAACAATTTCAAGAAATATCGAAGTTTAACGAGTAAAAGTAGATGAAAAAGAGCAATGCTAATTTTATAGAAAGATTTTAAGAAATCTCAACCATTGATTCATGGAATTCATTAGTAGGATCCTCTCATTCAATATATCAGGCTTCTACAAAGGGATTCTGAAAAAAAAAAATTTATTATGTAAAATTAATATAATGTTTTTGGATGGATTGAATTGATGCCCTTCAATCAAAAGCTCAGACCATAATGTATTGATTGTACAATAACTTGCAGCAATTACCTAGCTAGGAAGATTTTTTGCTTCCTCTCTTGTGCATGCATAGACAATGTGATTCCTTCAAAAAAGAAAAAAAAAAAAGAACGAAGAAAAAAGAAGTAAAGATCAAGTTGCAAGACAAGGAACTAGATGGTTTCAAAATGATTGAGAATTAAATTTTAAAGGTTATGTCATCATAGCCCAATACTCATATCTCTTGCTGCGTTTTATATTTGTCATTCTCTGTTGCCTATGATAATTGCTTTTTTATTGGTTTGTTTATGAAACATAGCTGATAGCACACTCAAAATTCCACAATCAAAAGTAGGCATCTGATTTAGATTCCCACTCCGGCTATCCTTTTGACATTATCATTTGAACATTAAGGCCACCACTAGCTAGCCAAGATTATGATTTACGTTATCATCATAAAAAGTTCTTGCTGTGCTAATTATTAAACTTGCAAGTATATCTATATATACTGGCAGGTTTTTGTAGGCGTTGAGTTAAATAATGTGTTTGCTCCTTCCTGTATCACAACAAGGGAGACTTGATGTTGATAGGCCAAGAATAGCGAGAAATTTTAGACTATTTCAGGAGCACTTACCAATACTTTACATCATAAAAGAGAGAGAAATATGCGAGAAAACAATATATATATTGATAGTTACTGTTCCCATGAAGAAAAGGTAGAATGACAGTAGGAGTAGACGCCCAAAGCTTGAGAGTAGAAACCTAAATTGCTAGCATAGGCAATAAAGGACTCGAGATATGGAAAGATTCTGAGTTCAAGTCTCTTGCATAATTTATATAAATAACTCTCTTTTTCTACTAGGCATGGAGCCTCTCCCTTTTGTTTTCATTGATTAAAAAACTAGCACTGTGACTTCATAGTCAGTGCTAAACCTTGAAGGAATGAATGCGAGGGTTCAAAGGGATCCACAGTCAACAGATACCTCATTGTTTGTAAATGCTAAAAATAAAAAATAAAAAAGAAGAGTATAAACGATTCAGAGCTTATGAGACCGTACAACGTCTTCTTCTTCTCCTCTGTTTTAACATGTAGTTGTCATCTACTGATGCAATGCAGTGATCCTTGGAATAAACCCTTAACATTTGACTCTTCTCTGGCAAGTAATATCTTTTTTATTTCCCAGCTTTCATTTTTTAAAAGATAGTAGCGATCTATTTCTTCTTCTTTTTCTTTATCGGACAACTAGCTACCGACGAAAGCTACCCTTTCCTTATCAACATCATCTGGAAAACGTTGCCTGCCAAGAGGAGTATAAAGCTGAAGAATGTATTTATTCTCATTGATGAGATAATGGACAAAGTAGAATTCAATAGTGAAGTTTTAAAATATAATTTATATTAGTTTTTTATAAATTTCCTTAAATAATTAATTTTTATAAGGAAATAAAATGGTATTGTAAGATTTGAACTTGTTATCTTTTATTTAACAAAATTTTAATACTATATCAAAAAAAAATTATCTAAATTTAACAAATTAAATCATTAGATGAGATCACAAAATATAATTATTTATGATATTGCTCTTTAACATAAAGATAATATTTTTTTTCCTATCAATTTATCTCTTATTTATCTTTGTTAATGCACGTAATATTTTTTATATGATCTGTTTAAAGAAAAAAAATTACTATTGTTAAAGCAAGTTAATAAAAAAAATATCAACATGATGTTCCTATATTTCATGTGATTAAAAACCAAAAAAAAAAATCATGTTTTAAATCTATTTAAATATCTTAATGACAAACAATAGATTTCAATCAAATTTTTATAAATAATTTTTTTTTATTTTCAGATAAGATACATAATAATTAAAAATAAAAATTATTAAAATTTATAATAATATATAAAAATCATGTCAAAACTGAATAGTAAATGAATTTGATAACTTTGTTTTTAAGTTAAAAAAAGAAAAAAAAAAGCCCATCATGGGCTTAGGCTAGATCCGAAAACCTAGCTCTATTTTTTATTTTTTTATGGTCTGCCTTTTAATATATATATATATATAAAAAATGAGCAACAAGTCAGCAATAGGCGCATCCCAAATGCTTGAACTTACAACCTCTAAGCTTTTCAGGCATGCCAACCAACTAACTTACAACTCAACTTTATTATGAAATAATTAAAAATGTATATTAAAATACTTTATTATTTATATTAACAGTAAAATATCATTAAAAAAAACTCATTTATTTCAGTGTTGTATGTTAATTCTCTACCAAGCGAGTTCTTTTTTTGAAGCACATACTATTCTCTTCTCTACCATCTCATATTTTTGTCTTCAGTTGTGATATTCTGTCTTGAGCAAATTCAACGAGTGAGATGTCCTACTTATTTTATACAACAATTCCTTTTCTTTTCTATGGCATTACTTCTCTACAAATATTTCCTATTGTCTTCACACTTCACTATTGTTTGTAGACGAAAATGGGAAGTATGCCCTTTTGTTGGGTTTCTCTGAAGATAAATATGTGATGGAAACATTAAATTTAAGATTTTTCAGAATTCTTACTAATCTTATTAGATAGATTTGAAATTATTTAGAATTTATATAAAAATTACATAAAAATTAAATATTTTTTCAATTTTAAATAATTATTTTAATACTAGTTTCTTACAAATCATAAATCATCTAAATATCTGATCTGTAATCATAATTTCCTAAACTTTTTTAGAAGAAAGTGACTATTATATCTTGGAGTGTTAGTTTTTTTTTTTTTTATGTTTCAAGTGTTTTTATACTGTATATAAAATAAAAGGCATAACATTTTATTTATAGAAAAAATATGAAAACATTATAAATGATAAAATATCAATTTGCCCCTTAAATAACATCACACATATTATTTTACGATAATTTTAGAAATTTATTCAATAAACTTCCTATTTGATTTTTTTTATGTGGAATTATAATCTCCTGTATTACTTATATTCTAATATTTAATTTCTAAAATTTATTTATAATCAAGTCACATTTGATTAATCATCTCATTTTAATTTTTAACCAATGATTCTTACATACATGGCCTAAGTCAACTCAAATATAAATTATAATTGTAAATAAAATAATATTATATAAATAAAATAATTTAATTTATTATCAATTTAATAATTGATTGATTTATATTTAAAGATCAAATATAATGTTTAGCAATCTATCATCATCCTTAAATACCATGAAAGTTATAAGTGGTTTGACTTAATTTTTTAGTGATTAATTTTTTAGTATAATTATTATTTCTTCATAAAAAATATTTTGATTTAGACATTATAACATGGATGATGTTTGTTTTGTTGATTTATTTTTGTTTTCAATACTATAATCATTGATTATTTAAATAAGATTTAAAATTCATTTCAAATATAATTCCACTTTGACCAAGGATTTAACAATCAATATTATTTAAGAATATATTGAATATTTTTTTTTAATTCATCTAGGGTGATGAATCCTCTTTTTATTACTCAAATATATTTATATAACTTAAGTCATACCTAATATCTGCTCATTTACTACCCCTTGATTAAGACAACATATAATCAGAATTAAAGTATAACACTTCATATACCTCAATTTGTAAAAATAATTGCTTCTTTTTATAAAAAGAAGAAGAAGAATATAATATGTATTAATCTCAACCACTCTAATTAATATTTAGTTTCAATAAAATATTGATAAGAAATATTTAGAAGTAATATTTTGATGTAATAAGAATTTTATAATCACAACTTTAAATTTTTCTTTGCAAAATATTTTTATCCTGTGAACCTTATCTTTACTCGATATTCATTAACTAAAAATTAGACATATAAATAAAAAATAAATAAATATTAACAATAATAAAAAAAGGTTGATCAATAAGATGCAAGAAGGCTAGAACCAATTAAAAGGTTGATCAATGGAGGATTCCAATTATTATAGGATCAGTAGTTTGGTATCTCAACAGGGCAACAATATTATATATATTTGGTGCACCGAGTTGGCAAATGAGAAATTTCAGTTCGAGCTTTCTCGACAACGACTCCTAATGTCCTCCTGCACCAGGAAGCATCAACTCTTGTATGTAAACATGTAAATATCATTTTGTTTTATTTTATTGATTGCTGCAAATTATATATCATTGTAGATCAGCATCGTAACTTCATTGGATTCTGTTACTCTATGATGAATAAATATACTTTAATTATGAAGACAATTGTGAATAATATGAATTGACTTGGTTTTTTTTTTTTTTAAATAACTTTTATTAAGATGTTAAAAATATTTTTTTTCATTTCAATTTAAAATCAAGCAGAAATGATTAATAATTTTTTTATTATATTTATCTGTTAATATTATTAAATTTAGATTACTTTAATAAATCAACTCGATAACTTATCAATTTAAAAGTTTAATATATATCAGGTTTTAAATTAAATCAAGTAATAATACTTCATGTGACTTGGTGTTAAAATTGGATTTAACTTAAAATAAAAATAAACAAATTTTTTTAAATTAATTTATATTAACTTTAGCTAATTTTCACAACGGATTCTAGTTATGAGTCGGTCCAGCGTAATAACTTTGGTACCATATATATAATTAATATAGCTTACCTGTATATGGGCTAATCATAATAGACTTTGAGCTAGCTTTACTTCATGCGCAATAATCATGGCTGGATCAATTGTTTTTTAAAATAAAAAAAGTGTGTTTGATACTTTTAATATAATTTATGGTTAGCCCTATATTTTCTATGTTTTTTACTTTTTGGTCCTCAAACCTACAATTTGGTACTTTTAATATGATTTCAAGCCTATATATATATATAGTTGTTGACATGTATAGCTGAGTACAGCTATGAGAAAAATTGTAATATAAATGTAATAATAAACAATGAAATCGATCACTTTCCAAATTTCAATGGAGTTTTAATTAGATAATTCCAGGCTGGGATTCTTTTTCATTTTAAAAACCTTTATTTAAAGAGAGAGGGCATTTATAAATGGTGTTTTTTAGTAATATTTTTTTGTTTCATGTTCATCCATCAACATATTCTTCTTCGTAATCCTTATCTGCACAGCTATACTCTTCAAATATAAACAATTAATATTCAACTCTCCAGTTATTACAATATTTTTAGAAAATACCTCTTTTTTTTCACCCCCAAAGTATCAATTTATTCACAATTTCATCCCGAACTAGTTCATTTTATCAATTTCATTGCATACTTTCTTTTTTTTTTACGTGGGGTGTCCGGGCCAACTTACGCGCACCACAACTAATCCCCACGGCCCACTGAACATCCTGCAAGCCCAGTAAACAAGTAAGGCACCGCGGGGGTAACAGGCATGCGCGGTAAGGCTCAAACCCAGGTGCGGAAGAAGGGGACAAACCCCTCCCACCGCTGGGCTAGAAACTCGCGCTACATACCTATTCTTTTTTTTTTAGATTAACGTGGGTGTCCGGACTAGCTTGCGCGCGACTAATCCCACACTACATACCTATTCTTTATTAGACACAATGTTGCCTCTCTACAGTTAACAGACAAGCAAAAATACTTGAATTTTCCCTCATACAGAGAGTGTAATTATCACATAAAGGTGATAAAATTGATTATTTTTTAAAGAGATTGGATAAAATGAAGACGAGGCTGTCCTATTTGTTTATTATCACACATAAAGAGTGTTATTTGTTCAATTACACAACTACTTTTTTTTTATCAAGTGGAAGCCACGAAGTTTTTAATTTGTTTTGTATTATTATGGGGGGTGTTTTTCACGTGAAATTATATTAAAATATTTTTTTAAAATTTTAATTTTATTTCAATAATAAAATTATCGGAAAAGTACTAAATTTTTTTTTATTAATAATGCACCATTTAATTCATCACTCCATATTAAATAGCATAAACCTTTTTCCTAGGAGGAACTAGCCATCTGAAATTTTGAGGATTTCTAATTACAAATGTTACAAGGGAAGGGGGGTGTTGAACTGTTCTTCGATTTTGATGAAGGAAAGGAGAATAATTATTAAGCTATATAGCACTTCCAATATCTTCCTTTCCCTTGTTCTTTTCCAAGATTTGAATGGTGGGATGAAGAAAAAATTTACAAGACTAGAAATTCTACTATCCAGGAAGCTTGAGCTTTCAATCCTTGTGCTTCCTTCCTCATTTCTTGATACACCTTGCGATCATTCTATGAGGTAGTGCATTTTAATGCTTGCCACCCATGTCTAGGATACTCAAGTCCATGTCACTGAAACAACTAAGTCCAAAGAATTCATCTCCAAGATCCTTAGAGTCTAAAACCCATGGAGAGTTACTATCCTCTGATGAAGATTTAGATAGCCCGAATTCACTAAAATCTCCTCCTCTAGTGGCTTGAAAGTTCCAAGATGAATCATCAAGAAATACCTCCGACCATATGCAACTCATTAGTGGATCACTGTCAGTAGTACTGTTAGGTTCTGATGACCCTATGCATTCATCCACTGAAGAATTTTCAGTCGGTGTGGTCGAGCTTGAATTATCAGTAGTGCTGGAGGAGGCATGGCCACAATTTTGCGGGAGGACCTGCTGACCATCAGCGTTAAAATTGGGTTGATCATAATTAGTGTGACAAGGTACTATACTTTCTTGAGGACTCCCTTGTTTATTGAGAGGCTCGTGCGTAACAGGATCAATTCCCATCTTTATTAGCTTTTTCTTAATGTGGGTATTCCAGTGATTCTTGATCTCATTATCTGTTCTTCCCGGCAATCTTGCTGCGATTTTGGACCACCTAAAGCAAAAGAAAAGGTCAGAAAAAGTGTACTCAACACAAAGGAACTTTCATGTATTTAATCCCAATTTATATTATCTTGGTATGGGATTAAATATTAGTTAATAGTGTTTAAGTGACAGATTTTTATTTATGATCAAGTGCTAGTTAAAATGTTATCTAGTTCATGCACTTTGTGCACTCATAAAGTGAAAGATTTTAAATTTTATGTCACTAATTGGAAACCTTGGTAGTGATCTACGGGCCAAGACAGCTCTGGGAATCACAAGACAAAAAGAATGTACATGGGATCAAATCAAATTGCAGATGATGCATAAATCAGATTACACATTCCATGTTTCATGTCAAGTGTGGGCTAAGAAGATTCCTTGAAGTTGAATTGTCTAAATAATAATAATAATAATTTATTTTTATTATTATTTTACAGCTAATAATTCTACTTGATTAATAGGAGCTTGCATCATCCCATTATGATGCCCAAGCTAATCATATAAAAATGCAAGAACCCACTTACAACTGGGGAAGAAAAGGTTGGTAGATGGAATCATACACATATTCAAGTGAAATAATACTTCTAATCAATAACCTTAGAGGGACTTTTGATTTTATTTTTTTTGTTATTTCTATTAATTTTTTGAAGAATTTTTTTTGGCCCTGTAAAAAGGATAGGTGGTAGCTATTAATTATGAAAGTATTTCATTAAATTTTATCAGTGTTAGTAAAGTTTTTCCTTGAATTATATCTTCATACTCTTAGATTAATCTGAATTTAAATCTGGAGGTCTTTGCACTTGAAACGAGCCTTACAAATTGTTTGTGAGTTCATTTTTTTATATATAGAATCAACATCAAAATTAAGCCATGTAATTTGTAAAATGAAGCCGAAAAACGGAAGAAGCGAGAAACATATTGTAAAAAATAAGTTAAACATCACTGGAACAACATTATTCAAACTAAAATGATAGAATCATGACATCTTTACACGGAGAGAAAGCTTTCTGTATTGGGAGTTCTTAATTAGCTGCAGAAAATGATCCTACCAAAGCTTCCTACCATAAGTCAAATTTTGCAGTGAACAATGAAATATTCATGCTCTTGAAGGGATAGGTTAATCAATAAAGTAGATGAAGCATAGAACGATGAAATGACAAGGTGGCGTATAAGATAATGGGGCTACCTGTTGCCAAGGCAAGCATGGAGGTCAATGACAAGTTGCTCCTCATCCTCGTTTAGAAGGCCTCTCTTCAAGTCAGGCCGGAGGTAATTAGTCCAGCGAAGACGGCAGCTCTTGCCACACCGGCGGAGTCCGGCGAGCTTGGGTACAGCACGCCAGCAACATTGGCCATGTGTGAGAATAAAATTGACCAACTTCTTGTCTTCCTCAGCTGTCCAAGGGCCCTTCTTCACACCAAGTTTGTCGCAACAAGGTTGTCTACCCATCACTATGGCAAGTCACTCGTTGCTATATCACTTCCACCTAATTACTCCCAGAGAACAAAGCCCCACTCACCCACCTTTATATACTAGTGATTTCTCTTGCTTAAGGGCAAATCAAAATGATAATTTGGAGATGAACATGTCTCACACGCCTGTTTTGTGTATGTGAATTACACTTTCTAGCTAGCCAGGCTTTGGCTTGGCATGAAACTCAACTTTCTCCTTCCTTTGACGCACATACCACGCTATTAATAGCTTTCCCATGTCAAAGATAGAGGGAATATTTTACGTAATAAGTTTAATTTTTTTTTTCGTGTTCATATTTTTCTCCACTTAGAAAATTTCTTTAATAAAAGAGGCCTATCTAATCTCATGATCATGTAAATTCAAATTTTTTTTTTTTAAAAAAAAATGTTCTTGCATAGTTTCGTTGTTGTGGAAGGTGAAGTTATAATTGTTATATCAAGTAACTTGGAACGCTTGGACATTCAAAATTGGGTCAAAACAGAAATTTGAAGGATGGATATTTAAATTCTAATTGAATAGAACATAAAAATATTATTGGCTAAAGTTTTTTGCGTGAAGCTACACCCTAGCAAGAAAAATCAATATAATGCTTCGTAATAATCTTTATGATGATTTGACCTACATAATCAAAACCATGTCATCAATCATGAGGAAATTAAAAAAATATTGTAGTTGAATAAAAAATAAAATATGAAGATTATTCTATTAAATGTATTTCTAGATCAATTTTGTGTATCAAAATTAAATTCAATAACCCTTAAGAGTAGCAAATTTAGTGATTAAAAAGGTTTATTTAATTTATTGATTAATATTCTCATCCCAAGTCTAAAATCATTCATAGAAAGAATTTAATCTTCTTATATATATACTATACACACTATATCGAAAATACCTCTTCCTAACAAGAACAAATCATATAGTATATTGCATTCAAATCATACATGGGCATTCTTCTTGCACATACAATGTCTCTCCCAATAAATCTTGCTAAATAATTGCACCCTTATCATGACAAGAAAATGAGATTGCTTTTCTCTCTGCCTGTAGCCTCTGCCATGGACAAGAACAAGATCAAGATCATAGCATTTGGCATTTGATCCGCGCGTGTGATTCACTTGCCTGTAAATTGCTTTGGGTGTGGAAGATAATGGACCCACTACGAGTTTCTTGAAAGGAGCCCAGGACCTAAAAATTGATAGGCTCCTGTGAGCTCGGCTCCATGGGTGCTAGGGTCCAAGAAGGTGATGCTACACAGCTAGATGGACCAATATGAAGTTGACACGTTGATTTTCAAATTTGCCTTCTCCACTTTCTTACACAATCCAAACAAGCTTGTTGATTACTTGAGCGTTGCGTCATCACTCTCGTCATCACCATTCCCGGGGACACAAACAGAGCTGTCTTCACCGCCACACACTGTGTACCCACCAGAAATAACACCACCAACAATTAAGGGAAAAAAACAAAAAAAAAAAAAACCTAAATGAGCTCAGTGATCCATTCGGGCGTATGAGAGGAAATGCTGTGAGCTCGAACATTTATTTTTTCCAGGTTTTTTTGGTTATTTAATTATTATTTTTTCAGTTTAATCTTTTTTATTTGGATTAATTTGGGATTGTGCTTGATTATTTATTTTTATTTAGCTTGGTATTGACTTCTCATTATGTGATAAAGAAAATTGACTTTAGATTGAAAATTGATTTGGAAAAATTAAATTAAATTTAAAAAATCAGTGTAATGGGGGACTGAGTTTAAACACCAGAGAAGTATTGGGCCTTTTTTTCTTGCAAATATCAAGCACTAAGTTACATGGGTAAAGAAGAGATTCAAAACTTGTTTTAGTCTATTCATTTTTTATTTTTCAGTTTATTCCTCTTACATTGAGTTTTATTGAGTTTTTTTAAGGTTATACTAGATAGTTTTAGGATCTCATGATGTGATGGAAAACAATTCCAGCACTAGTTTAGTATATTGTTTTATATATAAAAAAATAATTTTATTAATTTTAAGTATTTAAGGTTCCAAGAATTTAATTCGATATCAAAATAATTCCAAAGATTAAAAAATACAAATAAATAATTTTGTTAACATGTGCAATGTATGTGCTAGTGTTTATAATGAAGTCATTATATTTAGGGGTGTTAAAAAAAACCGAAAAACCGATTAAATTTAGAAAACCAGAAAAAAAAAAACTGAAAAAACCGAACCGAAAAAAAACCGATTAAACTGAGTAAAATTTTGAAAAAATCAGCCGGTTCAGTTCGGTTTCGGTTTTGTAACCAAAAAACCAAAAAACCAAACTGAACCAAAACCGGAAAAAAAACCGAGCCAAACCGATTTGAACCGGTTTTTCCCTTTAAAAACCGAACCGAACCGAACCGAAACCGGTCGGTTTGACCCGGTTCGGTTTCGGTTTTTTTTTTCAAATTTTTTTTTCCGGTTTGGTTACTTTTTCTTTATAAAAACAGAACTAAACCGAAAATGAACACCCCTAATTAGGGCCAAAACTGGGTCAAACCAACCGGTTTCGGTTCGGTTCGGTTCGGTTTTTTAAGGGAAAAACTGGTTCAAATCGGTTTTGGCTCAGTTTTTTCGGTTTTGACTCGGTTTTTTTCCGGTTTCGGTTCGGTTTTTGGTTATAAAACTGAAACCGAACCGAACCGACTGATTTTTTCAAAATTTTACTCGGTTTAATCATTTTTTTTCAGTTTGGTTTTTTCGATTTTTTTTTCTGATTTTCTCAGTTTAATCGGTTTTTCAGTTTTTTTAAACACCCCTACCCCTAATTATACTTTAGCAATGTATGATAATTTATTGATAGCATAACATCATTGTCCATAATTAAATTCAGAGCAGCACACTAAGCTCTTCTCAAATATCTAGTTTATGTAGATGGTGGATTGACTACGAGGCTCTAATTGTTTTTTATTTTCTATTCTCCTTATGGTTTCATTGATTTTTTAGGGATTCATTTTAGTTTGCAAAAATAGAAAGTTATCTTATTATTTTATTTTTGTATCAAATTTGTTTTTATTCTTTTTAATTATTTTTTCCTCAATATTTGCTTTTATTTTATTTTTATATTAAATTTAGTTCTCATTCTTTTGATTACTATTTATTTTGTTTTGGGTCATTTTCTTAATCAATTTTTATTTTCAATTTCATTTCTTATTATTTAGTTTCATTTTAGTTCTATATTAAGTGTAATCTTCATTCTTTTTAGTTCTATTTATTTTGTTTAAGATCTTTTTTTTAATTGATTTTATTTTCAATTTCATTCTTAATTATTTGATTTTATTTTTATTATTATTTTATCTTAAATATTATATTGGTTAGGGATTGAGATTTTTTATTTTTTTTATTTTCTTTTCAATGAGGTTATTTCAAACTTGTATTCCAAGTCGTGGATTTTATTGGTTAACCTAAGTTGACTTGAATATTTTTTTTTGTTTTTTAATTAATTTTTTTTAGTCTCATCCTTTAAGATTGAGTTGAATTAATAATTGAGTTTTATAATTTTATTGAATTTGCTTTCTAAGTTGTTATTCTAGTCCCATGACTATGTTGTAGATTTGACATTTTGACTTGAGTCATTATTTTTGCTTTTTTTTTTAATTGATGTTTTTATTTTATCCTTCAATATTTGATTTGTTAATAATTGAATTTTAATTTTTTTATTTGTTTTTTATAGGTTTACCTCATTCTCATTTAATTTTTGATTTGTATCAAATAAGATCATGAAGATCTTTGAAGATTTTTTTGGGGTATTGTTTTTTATAATATTAGCAAGTGTTCATTTTTGCAGTTAATCATTGTTATTTTTTTTAGTTTGGTTTATTTATTGTTGTTGTTTTTTTAATTATATTATTAAATTAAATAAATTTATTAAACACAATCAAATCAATGACTCGAGTCTCAAAATTTTCTTATTTATTTAAAAACACTAGTGTCACCGAGGCATTCTTTTTTATATTAATTTTTTTTTGATCTAGCCCATATAATAGCACAATTTACTAATCTATATTACATAGAAGACCTGGTTCGCCCGTGACTTGATCTAAGACTTGAGTTATGGATTGAATAAGTTAGCTCCTAAGTTAACAGTTAACTAAGATTTTTTTTTTATTAACATAACATTATTTTGAATTGAAAAAATAGAATAATATCATTTAAAAAAAATATTAATCAGATCGGGTTAGATTGAATCATGAATTAACCTATAAAATCACTCAAGTTTGATTGCATCAACTTTGTAGGTGGTTCAATATCGAACTCGGCTTGAGGTAATTCCTAGATTAATAAATCATCGGGTTAACCTACCAGATTAAACAGATTTGATATTTTATGCCATCAACCCATGGTTGCTCAAAGACAACAACAACACATGCACATTTTTCTCATGGTTTTAAGGGTAGGAGGGCTTCCAAATATTTTTCTGCACCAAACAGGATTGAAATCTTGTTCACGGGTGTATGTCACTGCATATTATAGTATTAGCTAGTCAATCCATTAGGTTAAAATGGTAGGCAATCAATTTTATTTTTATTTGTTTTTTTTTTTAAAAAAAAACAGACCTACACTCCTAGCAGTACAAGAAAATGAATAAGCTCAGGCATTAACCTAATCAATCCTATAAGTCAACTTAATTAGACAACCAACTAGCTTGGCAAAGAAAAACTCCCTTATCATTTTTGGAGGCTTGACTTTGATGATGAATATATTTATTTCTAATATTATTATTTTGAATTTGAATCCAAGGACAAGCTATGAGTATGCATATGATCTTAATATATGCTAGAAATAAAGGAAAATAGTTGAGAATACGCTATCCAGCATGATTGGTAGATTCTTTATGTGTGCCTTTTTTCCATGTTATTTATCAAGAAATTCACTCTCAGATCCTAATAATACATTACAGCATTGTTTGACAATGGTGTGCTTGCAGATTCCGAAAGAAGACTTTAGTATGGATCTTGCTTTTTTGCTATGATTTTAATGCCTTTTGGAAATAAAATACGAAGGG